ATGTAGAGAGCGTTACAGTAGTCCAGGCGGGAGGTGACAAGAGCATGGGTAACTGTGCGCAAGGCATCCCGGTCCAGAAAAGGCCGCAACTGGTGTACCAGGCGTACCCGGTAAAACGCCCCCCTGGCCACAGCCGTCAACTGGTCTTCCAGTGTCAGCCGTGGATCCAGGAGGACGCCCAGATTGCGTACCCTCTCTGGGGGAGCCAAAGTTTCGCCCCCTATAGTCAGCGATGGAGTCAGCTGACCATACCTGGGAGCCGGCAGCCACAGCCACTCAGTCTTGGAAGGGTTGAGCCTGAGTCTGTTTCTCCCCATCCAGACCCGTACAGCCTCCAGACATCGGGCCAGCTGTAGCACACTGCTGTAGCACACTGCTGGCTCATATTTAAGTGATTGTCCACTAGGACTCCGAGGTCCCTCTCACAGTTACTACTATTGAGCAAGGTACCCCCTAGACTATACCTGTACATTTGGTTTTTCTTGCCTAAATGTAGAACCTTACTTTTTTCACCATTGAATTTCATTTTGTTAGATAGCGCCCAGTGTTCAAGTCTGTCCAGATCCTCCTGTATCTTAAGACTGTCTTCTGGAATGTTGGCTATTCCTGCCAGCTTGGTGTCATTTGCAAATCTGATGATTTCCCCATCTATCCCCTCATCCAAATCGTTGATGAAGAAGTTGAAGAGCACTGGGCCCAGAACAGAGCCCTGGGGCACCCCACTACACACTTCCCTCCATGTAGATGCGGTTCCATTGAGGACCACACGCTGAGTACGACCGGTCAGCCAGCTACGGATCCATCTGGTGGTGATGCTGTCTAACCCACATTTTTCTATCTTATCAAGTAGTAGGTTGTGATCTACTTTATCAAATGCCTTACTGAAGTCCAAGAGTCTGACTACTTTCTTCCAAACACACAAGGTATTTCTTTCCTGAAACAGTAGAGAATTAGAATTCCAAGTGCAATTAGCAAACCCCAAGTTACCCCAAAATGCCAAGATTCCAGCATCAGTTATGACTTCTTCAGTTTAATTTGTAGAGGATCTTCAGTTGGT